AAATAAATAAATGATGAAATCACGTCAATACAGAAAAATGTGAGGCCCTTTCAATTAACTTTCAACAAACCAACGTCTGATTTGTGATTCTTCATTCCACCTTCACTAGTAACTAGTAACTACTGATGAATGTTGCCAAGCATACTTAAATTGTCTCTAAAACAACAAAATATTCTAAAGCACATTAACTTCTCAAGTACATATATTTATCACATTAGAAATAAGACCATTCAAGACAGCCAAACAAGGAAAAAAAAATACAAAGATTTATAGTAGTTAACACATCACTCTCACTGACATCAGGAACACATGACAACAAGATGGAATATGAAAAAAGAAACTAATCTATATATGTGAAATGAATCTGGAATGCTGCTCTTGACACAGTGAAGTGTGTTGACAAACATTTTCGTCTCACGCATACAGATTACATTGCAAAAGAAAAATAAAATAAAATAAGAACAACACATTAAAGTATTTACAAAAATTAATAGATTAAATTTAGCAGTTCCCAGAGAGAACAAGAAAAGAAATTCAGTGCAAAGGATTTACACTCCACAATTACTGTTACACTCTAAATATTATCACAATTCATTTATGACCTCAACATTTCAGTAGATTAAAAGATACGAAGCCTAGATTAAAACAATTTTGAATCCAAGTCTATTTTGATGTGGAAATTTGTTTTAATAGTGAAGGTACTGTAGTAATTACAAGCAAATAGTTCAATGTTCTCAAATAGGCATATTACAAAATTGTTTCAAGCAGGCTTCCTCTCAATGTTGTTTGATCTTACATTCTGCCACAGCTCCCACCAGGGCAACCTCCCATATTGACAGAGCCCTGGCCGAACATATCACCAAATGATCTGAAGTTTCCTCTTGGCTTTGGTGGGCGAGGAGGGCTGTATGAGGAAAGACGAACAGGAAGTGAGACCCCCAAAAAAGATGTAGCCCATTAAATTCTCCATTACAAGCTGAAACTGATCAAATTGTGATAGTGGATCATATGCTGAGTCAACATACCCGCGTCCGTTGAAACCACCCCCACCGCCTCCTCCACCACCACCGCCACCACCTCGAGGTGCTCTGTAGCTTGTGCTCTCCCCATCTGAATTACGTAGACCTGGAATGAGGGTTGTGAAGCTGCAAAACACAAAACACAATAATGGTGACAAAGTCTAAACAGCAATACTAGAATGTTTAAATACACAAAATATTTACTTACAACAAATACACAACATTCAAAAATCCCCAGAACATGGATGTGATTTTGGAAACACCCCATGGCATGGACTCGTGAATTGTACCATCTGAAAGAATAAAGTAAAATTTGAACAAAAGAATGCTAAACACAAAGTGCCCATTAAAATTAGGTAAACATGAAATGCTTTATAGAGCACAGTTTATTTTGATGTCTGATAAAGATTAGTATTCAAGGAAATTTGTCTATAATAAAAAAGCAGAAAAGAATTCTTAAAAAGAAAGGTTATTACTGAACTAGTCGGAGCAATGGCATAGTATAAATGTAACATTTAAAGTACGTAAAGCTATTACCGTTGTCAATCCAAGTCATTTTGGTCAAGGATCTTAAAAAGCGATGAAAAGTAACTTGGGATTTCACCACGTCAGCCTGAAACTGGAACCTTCTACTTCCGAGAACACAACTTCAAACAATAACACCACCCACATCAAGTCTGAAGCGGGGGAGAAATGAGAGAAAACGTGATGACGTCAGACTATGTCCTCTATAGGCAGGCAATACAAACTGCAAATAGTTGACTCTGCGAACAGTGTGCGCGTGGGAGCGTTGAAATCCATTGAGTGACAGACAGACCTGCGTGAGTGTGAGGGGATCGGATACGAACAGATTAACAGCTGAATCCTCAGTTAACTTCAAGTTATCGTGCTTCCACAATGCATGTCTCACCGAAATCCTTAAGTGAGAGTCTGTGATCGAAATGAGCGACACAATTTTTCCTCGCCTAATCATAGAGAAAGTGAAATTTTTCTGACCTCAGCAATCTGAGGTACCTCACTCATGTTGGGTGAGAACCATAACTTACAACTCAAATAATAGAACGAGTAAAATAATCGCGGTCACGGGAAACGTGAGTTTTTGGAGGTCTCGCTCCCAAGAGCTGACTGTGCTAATGAGGCTAAGCAGAATAGCGCCTGGTGGTGCGCTTCGGGTAGGCCAACCCGCCAAGCAGGAGTGTGAGGTTGGTGGCCCGCTCCCCCTCCCCTCTCACCCGAAAGCAAGGTAGCCCGAAAGCGCTCCAGCCCCAGGAGCGGGAGCGTCGGCAGAGAAGACGTTTATCGTGGAAGCATCTCACGGTAACAATTCCACACCTTGGAGTGGTCAGAATCCTAAGTATAAGCTCAACAAACTAAATGTGGTGGAGTATTGGAAGTGATGGCACTTTCCGTTTGTATTAGGTGCGGCTGCTGTCACGGGTTCTTGTGACAAATTAAAGACAGATACGTCCATGCCACGGTGGCTGAATATGCCCGCGAATTTCTTAAGTAGTTATACTGGCCGCTTGGAGGCGTGTCGGCGGGTTGCATATCCGACCGGGGCCGTATAAGGCACCGTGGTCAGCGAAACGATAGGCAAAGGGCAATTTGCAATTTGCAAACCGCCTGCAAAGCACTGATTTGCAAGAACTGAGTGAAATTTTTTGTGTAGACCTTTTTAGCAGATGATACCTTAAAAACCTTTTGACTAAACGTAAAGAATAGATAAGTAAATTTAAGGTGTCAGCTAGCTT